GGTGGAGCAAGGCCATGACATGAGGAAATAATCTATAAGAATTATTTAATGATATTATCCATGGATGGGGATAATAATAATCCCTCCAAAAAAACAAAACAATAATAAATTGGTCATTTTCAATCCCTGACTGTTTGTGGGACATTGCTGTGCGCAATTGGCTGCCGCCTTCGCCCACAAATATAGTCAATTCACTTTACAGTGTGTTCTGTGAAGCGCTTTGGGATGTCCTCCCGACGTGAAAAGCGCTATATCAAATGCAAGGATTATTATTATTATTGTTAAGTGTGCTGGGACGCTACCATTCATGAGGTGTGCTATATAAATACAAGTTGTTGTTTTTGGGGGGTATCTTCATTATGAACACAAATCTTAAATCTGAGGCAGTATGAACAGGTTCACATGGGGGAGCCTTTCAAAGAAGGGAGGTTAAGAATTGTTCTGTACAAAGGAAACTGGAAGCCACGTTTGATCTGGTGAGCCTGAGGTGAGAACATTTGGAGGAATTGTAAGCACTAAACCTTGTCATCAGGATGCTTACATCAGCTGACACACTTGAGCAGCCTATCTATCCCATCTGTTCCCATCTCCTGAGAGAACATTGTGTGAAGGTACTCTCTCATCCTCGGAAGTAATTAAGTAAAAGTGTGAGATTATTGCTTCATCTCCCTATTGTTTTGTGCCATTCAACACAATTCATACAATTGTAAATGTGGACTTGTATCAACTGAATGATCTCTTATTTTGTATCTGATACTCATTAAAACCATTTGTGTTTTTAGTGCCTGATCATGTCAAAACATCTCACATTGTGAGTTAATGCAGTGATTTACGTCAACAGTTAAATACATATGTGTATCTATCTAACTGATGCCAAGTATTGGTCAAATTGCCATCTATTGCATGGATGCAAACAATAATTAACAATAATTAACACACACCATGAAGACTACAGGGTAGACTTGAAAGTATCATTATGTAGCAGCAATTATTGTAGGCTTGTTTCGATAAAAGGTTTGAAGTGCAATTTGGTACTAATAATTTACGTAAGTTTTTTTTAAACCATCAACCTATATCTACTTATAATCTTAACTTTAGAGTTAAGATGGTAACTTATCTTTAAAACCATACTTTAAAACCATCACATATGTGACCACTGTAATCTGAATTTTCTTCACAAATCTATGAATCCAGATGTGCTAAACTTTTAAGATTGCCTGGACTGTTCAAAGTAATTTTGACATGTTAAGCACAGAAGCAGTAGAAGATGGAACGATTTGTAACAGCTGATGGTTGATTCAGGAAAGAAGCTAAATATGCACTGTTGCACTTTACACACTGTAACCTCTAATCCTTTGTTCCCAATTCTCATGATTGCAATGTTTAAGTGGTTTGCTTTGCTAATTTTTGGTTTGTATCACATTAGGTATTTTCATTACTTGCCATAATGTACCGTGGTACTCAGTGACGCACAAAACCATACTGACGTGTGGCATTTAACCTAAAGAACTGCAACAATTATAAACTGGCCTTTGCGATGACGCCATATACTTTTATTTAAAGTAATTATGTTTATTTGTTAAAGAAAGGTGGGTGTGAGGTTAACAACAAAGAATCTGGTAGAATTTGTATCACAACTGAAAGCTTTCGTCTTCGACTATGCCTTCGGTCACTCCTATCCTTATTCTTCACACAGCTGTCAGTTGGAGGAAACCGTATTAACAATCGTGCAACTCGTAATGCCGCTATCACACTTACCAAACTTACCGGTTGCTTGGCCAAAACTTTGTTTCCAGTGTCTACCTTCAACTGAACACCGCACACGTGCACCCCAACACTCAGTATGCTCCAGTGATAACATGAATGGGTGAAGTTCTCATTCATAATACATGGAGACAGGTCCCCTTTGCTCTCCCCATGATCAGGCATTCCACGTCCCCGGGAGGGTGGGCGAGGAGAGAGTCGGGATGCACATGTACAATGTTCTGTTTGAGGTAGGTGCAAGAAATAAAGTTTTGACCCAGCAGCCAGTAGGTTTGGTAATGGCCAGTGCTATCACAGCATTCTGAGTTGCATGATTGTCAATAGGACTAGACCATTTAAATTGAAGTGGATTTAATAGGAAATTGAACAGGACTAGCGCAGATGTACAACTTGGGTGATTATACAATTTATACAGATCCGACTAATGCGAGTTTTACTGTAATTGTGTACAGTTGAAGCTCTGCTTTTAAACAATCCCAGATAAATTTATTTTTATATAGAGCTGGAAAGGAAATAAAATTGGTGTTTTACTGCATGCCTGTTTATCATTATGGAAACAAAAAGAAAATCTGGTTCATGAGGTTCTTTTTATCCTTTGATTTTTGAGGGCATGGTTTATATCCACTTGATTTCAAAATAAAAACTGTAATTGGAGGTGCTTTTCCAATGCTGAGACAAAGACACATTGCTAAACTTTTTACTGTGTATCTAACTGTCTGAAACCTTCCTTGGTGGTATGTGAAACAATGCTAGGTTATAATAATACTTTCATTTGATTTAAATCACTATGTTGTCAAGCTCACAAAGCATTCACAGAATTTTACTGTACTGTGCATTAATTGTATTTGTAGGCAAATGCAGTAGCTAATTTGCACACCGATGTCCCACAAACAGCCATGAGGTGAATGATCAATATTATTTGGGGTATTGTTGACCATAAGTAGTGAAACTTGCTTCTCTTTTCAATCAGTGGAATGGGATCTTTAATATCCACCTGAACAGGCAGATGAGGATACTTGCTGGCCCTGAAACCAAACTCCCATTATCTTGGGATCTTTAACTTATTCGTGAAAAACGGGCAAAAGGGACCTCGGTTTAATGTTTTGTCCAAAAGATGGCAAGTTCCCCATTGTTGCCTTGACCATGTGTTTGAGTTATGATACAGTGCTTGAACCTTAAACTGACCCCAGATGTGAGTGCTTCCCAGGCTGAACCAACAGAAGACAGTTGAAGCAGCTGTAGAGACAACTGGTCTAGAATGCCTCACCAGGCCACGCTGCTGAGGAGGAGTTGGGAGAAAAACAGTAGAAAAATATACATTAACAAACACAAAAGAAATTCTAAGAACTCTCTTTCTTCTTCTTTGCTTGCCATCCATCACCATGCATTTTTTCCTGAGTGAGAAAACATTCTTCCTTCCAATTCTGTTTCTGATTTTTTTTCACGTAATCTGTCAAAGCATGATTTCCATATTTCTCATTCAGAATAATAGTTTCTTATGAAAAACACCTATATAAAATAATTTGTTTTTCTTGTATGTTTGGCAAGTGGGGATGTTGGTGTTAGGAAATGAAAAACTTTTCTGACTTTGAACACCAACTGTCAACAGAGTACTCTCAGTCTGGTTAATGCAAAGCTAAGCTCCTTCTGTCCAACAATGTTTCAACCCCAGTCTAGGAGAAGGAACCCATTCCTGCACTATGAGCATTTTCCAATTCTTACACCAGATGTCCTTCAAGCCTTTCTCAGTTACAGTGCTCATCAGCTTGGCCCTTAGAGTTACTTAAGTCAGCCAGTCAATGAACATCTTTTAATAGTTCATGTTTGTTGACTCTCAACTCAACTCTTTGAAATGCTACTGCTATAACCTTAATAATTTCACACTACACTTTAAAGGGACACAAGTTGTGAAAAACGTTTTGATGGAAACCGCTTAAGTGTTCCTGTGAAACAGATGTAACACCAGCACGTCTCTACTACTGTGGTTGAGTTGATAATGATCTGATTGGGACACGGTCCTGTTTCTAAACTGCTGTGTATGGAAACCGTTTGTAATAATGGTACTACAAAGAGATACATAAAAGGCAGACATTGGTAAACACTTAGTTGCAGTCCATATTTTATGACCATGTAAATCGTTGCTTTAACGTACCTTAATATTGAAAGAAATCTGGAACACGTGTTGCATACAATCATAGACACAGTATATGACATAGAGAAAGCCATTCGATTGTTTTTCTTTTATCCTCTAATTCCCATTCTCAGCATTTTGCTATCCGGTCATTCAGAAGTCCTGGAGAAGTGTAAATAAGCATTAAACTTGTGGCAGAACAAATCTTCAAGTCAAAATACCTGGATTCTTCAAACAGCGGTACACACAGCAATAAGATTACAGGAAAGATTGTCCTTTCTCATAGTTCTTTGTGAAAGATACTTGTAACACACATTGATAAAACACTGGAAAATGCTTCTTGTTCTGCTGTTTCAGAATTCTTCAGAACCCAGGGCTTTAGAGTCGAAAGTATCCAACTGCCCTACCAATAAATCTATCAAATTATTTCCATATATGTACAGCAGGCAGGTAGAAAGATGAAGGAACAGTGGGAGGGAGATCATAGATGAAAGTGATAGCAGATGAATGGATGGGAAGGAGGGAGGCAGACACACTGAGGGAGAACATCCCATTTTATCCAATAAGCACTCAGCTGAACACAAGGCACCCATTATCGGGCCTTATAATTGCTTTTCATTGTAATGTTCATTTCTAGCTGGATGAGTCTTCTGTTGTCTGCATTTTGATTTGAAATTTTTGTGAAGTAAAAACAAAAAGGCTGTATTTTTGATGGTGTCACAGAGACTGATGCACCTCAGTCAGAGACTAGATGCATCTCTGTCAGATAGTGATGGACCTGCTGTGCATTTCCAGAAGTTTATTATTTCAGGTTTCTAGCATTTGCTTTCTTGTTTTATCTCCACACTTCTTATGAAACCCTGTTGACTGCAGTCGGTTGACATATTACAGGGTTTGACAGTTGGATCTTCCTTTGAGGGCTCCCTCGAAAAATAAAGTCAATGGATCAAAAAATAAATTAAGCATGTTTTAGAACAAAGAGGTACAAAGAATGCACTTTAAAATAAGTACAGAATTGCTCTGTACAAACTGAAAGGATTAACCACAAGCACCAGTTAGTAGAATAAAGGATTTGTCTTGACATACTGATATGTTTCCATTTCAGGACCATCTCTTGCTACCAGCCATCAGCCATAATAAGACCAGCAAACCAAAGATGTCTCTTGTACTTCCAGCAATGAACATTGATGGTGAGTAATTATTTTTAAAAGGTGAAAACCCAGATGGATTTCAGATGCCTTCCTTTGGGAATGAATAGATTTGTAGAGCTGGATAAAAGCTGTTTATTCTGCATTGAATTTGGAATGAAACCAGTTCTTATGAAGTTCAGTACTTAACTAATTAGTGATTACAAGGCACATTGTTTGTGACCGAGAAGCAATTTTGTTGGTGGAAGAGTGCCCAACAATGCAGTCACACGGTATTATTAGTGATACGAGTATCAAACACCATATATTCATGTGAGCACCTGACTATTCTTGAAGCAAATACTGTCTACAGATCAGATTAACTTGTGCTGGACAGTGGGTTTATTATTATTTGCAGGATTATAAGTAACATTTGGTAAATGTATGGAAAAATTAACCATGCAAGTTACATATTCTCTAAAAAAGTAAAATGGCAGATGGACATTTTTGTACAATAATCAGAGGGTTATTTTAATAACAATTATACATGCATTTGATTGAATCTTACCAAATTGAAACATCTCAAAGAATTTCATGAAACAATTCAACTGTATAACGTGACTAAATTGTGTGAATCTAATCTATTATATCATTGGGTCCAAAAATGGAGAACACAAATCAGGCCAACTGACTAGCTGGTTGACTAATCTTTAAAAAAAAAAGCAAGTTTGCAGGTTGTCAGGATATCAATAACTTCTTCCTGCATGTGTACTATGTGCAGAAAGCACCACTGACATTCATTCACAAAAATATGGTGACCTGGAAAAAGGACTAGCAATCATTTTTTCTATGAGCCTAATATAAGGCAATGAGAGAATAATATAAGGCAAGAGAGAATCTAAGCTTTTAATCTACTTTCATTTATACAAAATGATAAATTGGTGTTTCCCGCCACAACGTAAAAACTTAACATTACTTCTAGCAGTCATAAGAAGTCCTGCTGATTTCTTGCCCAACCATTCTCTTAATAGTCTTTATGGTTTAATCTTTTGTTTGTTTTCTGATATGTTTTTGATTGAACAGTGAATCCTAGGGTGCAGTTGGCTCAACACTTTGAAGAAACTAAATTAACTCATGCTGTTAAACTGAAGCAATTGCTGAAGCAAACTGTGTTAACTGTCTCTGTAGGATGTTTCTTCAGCTTGTAGTCTGACTCATAACTACTCCCCAATGATTTTGGAACAAAAAAAAATTCCCAAAACAGCTCAGTTATAGGGGAAAAATGTTTAAAGCCAATGACATTGCTATGAAATTGCTTTAGATTTGATCAATCTGGAACCCATAGATTTTTTAAATCAGCAGCAATAGCTCTACTGATTAGTATCCACGGGGTTCCTCGTAGGGTCATGATTAAAAATAATCATTGCATTTGATATAGCGCCTTATCATGTCTTTGAGACGTCTCAAAGCGCTTCACAGAATATGCTGTAAAGTGAATTGACTGTATATTTTGCAGGATTCAGTAGGGAAATTTTAGATTTATATAACTTGTAAATAAATTATGTATAATTTATTTTATATAAATGAATTTTGTTGTTTCAACATATGTGCCCACTCCACTAACCTATCAATATCTACCTGTAGGTTCCTGCATCCTTTATCATTATTAAGAGCATCTCCAAACTTAGGATCAGGCTCAAATTTAAATCATTGATCTGTGTGTATACATAAAGAACTGGTGAGGTCCTAATACTGAGCCTTAAGGCCAATCAGAAAAGCATCTCTTAACTCCTGCTTTCAGCCACCTGTCTGAAGACCACATGATCCCAGAGGGACAGTCAACCCCATCCCACTTTTGAATACTTCCTTGCCCTCACTTTCACAACACTGTCGGTGGAGAAAACCTGACAGCATGTTTATCATCTACTCTCAAAGTTGCATTGCATGAGAAGAAAATGCCATAGGGAGATGCTGTTTTTTTCCCTTTGTCCATTTGCTTTGTACATAATACATTATGTTGGATTCTTCCAGAGAGGAAAAGGAAGGTTTCCAAGGACCATTGAAATTAATTATGGTTCAAGATATTTAATTCGATTAGTCAGTCCTGAGAGCCACAGCTCAAGGGTTATGGTTATGAATGCTTGATTCTCTCTACATGCTACATCTGATTTGAAGTCTGTTGAAATTTAGGTCAAGTAGGTGCCTCTTCAACTGTAATTTGAAATATTGCCAGTTTAATTGTAGTTAATAAAAGACGTATCAAAAAAGCGAACTTTGTTCTGCTTTCGTGAGGATCTGCTGATCATTAGCAACTGTCAAAATGATTTTTTTTATAATGAGTTGAATTTTCAAGTATTCCTCAATAAAGTTAACTGAAGGTTTTTGAAGGCAATGAGAAAAATACAAGGGAAAGTGGTTTTGGAAGAGTTTTTAAACCACAGACACATGGTTGCTGAAGGCTCAGAACAGATGGAGCGAAGGGAATAGGAAACAAGTAATAGACCAGAGCTGGAAGAGCAGGTGGGACCGGGAGGCTGGCAAGGAAAACATTGGACAAATCTCTGTTCAAGTTAGAGTGAATGAGAGTTTCAGTAGAAGTGGAAGGTGGAGTATTATTGGGTCATTTTACGGATGTGGAAGAAGGCAGTTCTGGCCGTAAACCAGATGTGGAGTTTGAAACTCAGTTCAGGATCAATCAGATGTAATGCTGACTACAGGTTTCCCTTGAGCAGATGTCTGTAAGACAGTGCATACCATTGTAAGACTCTTCTCAGCCTTCAACATCAAAAGCTTCCCTTGTGTTTTTCTGATTTTATACTTAATTCAGAGAAAGTTTGATGACTTGTAGAAAAATGTATTGTCTAACTCCCAAGCAAGCAAATTATCCCATGGATAATTTCTGTTGTATTTCTGCCTGTAGCTCCATCAGACTTGCATGCTTATTTGTAAATATAGTTATGCAGACTTGCATGATAATATTTGTATTCTTCAATAATAACAAATAGAAGACAGTGAGATTGTTCCACAATTCAAGGTCCACAAAACATTTTTCAGTGCAATACTAATTTTATGATGCATGGCAATGTTGCTGTTATGAATCTGATACTGTAAATATTGATTTTGATTCCAGTCAGATCACTGTGTCGTCTGTTTGCAGTCATTACAGCATGTCCATTTCATGTTTCTGAGACTGTGTGATAGATGTTAAGCCAAAGTCTTCATTTTTCCTCTGACTTGTCACACAACCAGTAATACTTTAATGAAACCCCTTTTTCAGCTCTGCTGCTAAGAAATTTCTGTTAAATTCAAATAGATTTTCGGTTGACTAAAGTTAGCATGACTGATAACAAGAAATAAACGTACACTTTTTTTATTCATTTCCCTTGCAAGTTCCTGCCAAACTTGTGCAAACATGACTGTGAGGCTATATTTCCTCCAAAGGCAGAAGGTTTGCTTGCTGAATAGTTCGCAGAGGAAATGCTCAACTCTTTTAGTTAAGGTGTTTTATAGATCCCTTGTTATTCAGTTGGTCTTTTAACTGGATTTGATGTGACATTCCACTTGACACAGTTTGGTTCTATATTCCTTTGCAGTTTGTATTTTATTTTTTAAATGTAGCACAGAGTGGGGGAGAAGATATTTTGTATCCTTCCTGTCTCTTCTCCCCGCACCAAATACTAACTCACTTGAATAGAACCTACTCCCAAGGTTAAAGATGGTCTTACATTCTAATTTCTTGTAGCTTGAATCTTCCAGTTCCAAATCCACTTGTATCTGTTATACAGATTGAACTGTTCAGGATTTTTGTTTTGGCCATCCAGGTGAAGGAAACATTTGGGAACCCATTCCTGTGTTTGAGTATTTAAACCAGACTGCTATGAACCAGCTATGAAACCCATACCCATTGGGGCTTTTGCTTACAGGCTTAATAGGAGCAGGAAGAATCCCTCCGTAGTATTTGGTCTGCTCTGCTAAATCCAATCAATGAGCCCGGTTGGCTGGTCTGTCATCAGCAATGCCTGGAGTCCTGGACTCACCGAGCTCAGGAATTAAACTACTGAGACTGACGCAGAGGATTGACTCAATCCTGACATTCTGTTGCCAAGCATATCACCTGAAAACCAGTTCAACTCCAAACAGACCCTGCTTTTCTCTTCCTCCCAACACCCCACCCCCTGATGGATAGTGCTAGTTGGTCATTTGACATCTGACAAGAGCAGGTTTAAGCCCTCAAAAGATGAATGACAGGTACCAGAAACTCCCTGCAAAGCTTCCTGGTGAACAGCATAGCTAAGCCTGAAGTGCTTGAGAACATTGGCCCTGTCCTCCATTGCGTTTTTCAATTAAATGAAAATAGGTGCGTATATTTTCTTCATCTATTGCCTTCCAGTAGTGTGGGTTTAAAAAAAGTGTTTAAAATTGAGCAGAAGAAAAGTGTGTCCTTTGCTTATGTAGTTGGAGGGAAGCCCGGGAGTTGGAGAGATCACTGTGATTGTTGAACTTTGCCAGCGTCCTTATCCCTGTATCTGCCTCCAGTTGCTTTCATGTAAGTAACCTCCTTGTTGGCTGCCAGCCAGCCAGCATTGAAACTTCAAGTTAAAAATCAGTCTTGGCTGTTGTATTCAAAGGCAGGATTTAGACTAGACAAAGTAGAGAGACTGCATATGTTTGCCAGCCTGAAAACATGCTAAATGTTAACAATGCTACAATCCAAATGTCCCACATTATAAACACAGGATCCCGATAGAGCTTTTCTTGCTTTATTTGTAAATAGAGAGGTACAGATTATGCAGCAATAGCTAAAGTGCACTCTGTCAAGTTGAACCTGTGTGTGTTGGCTACAGAGTCTTGTGTTTATGACCTCATTATGCTCACATCCATATCCAAAATGCAATCAGAGTGTAATTGTAATGTTTCCACTGTAGGACAGCTTTACCAGTAAAAGAAATGACTATTCAGGTTGATTTGTATTTTTTTTAAAATTTGTAATTCTTGTTGAATAAAACTGCTTATCTCACTCATATAGGAAAATTGGCTTGTAAGTTGACAAATTTATGGTATAT